GTGGGGGCCCCAGGTTAGCCTTTTATCAAGAGTTATGCCTAAGTACTTTATTTCGGTTCGGACAGGGATGGGGACGTTGTTCATGATTAATTGAGGGCACTCACGGGGAGATTGTTTTAATGTGAAAGTAACTTGCACAGATTTATCTGTATTTATTTTGATTTTCCATTTTTTGGCCCATTCGTCGATTTTATTAGCATGGTCCTGAAATGCAGCTGAAGCTAGGTTAGGATTTGAACTGGAGGAAAGAATAGCTGTGTCATCAGCGTATGTGGCAAGAAGCGTGTTACTAGATTGAGAGATATCTGCTGTGAATACATTGTATAGATCCGGGGATAAATCACTACCCTGCGGGACTCCAGCATATATTGAGTGAGTAGATGAGATGTCGTTACCCTGTCGTACGACAAACGAACGATTTTGTAGATAAGATTTTATAAGAAGATAGTAGGGAGCTGGCATGAAGAGTTTTAATTTGTATAGTAAGCCTTCGTGCCAAACTCTATCGAATGCTTGAGCAATATCTAAAAAAAGTCCAGAACATAAAAAAAGTCCAGAACAAAATTTCGTTATCTGACATCTATTCTGTGGTACACCAACACCATTATTTATATAAATATATGTAATGTATGTGTGTGTTATACATCTAAAATTCTATCTAATTTTTATATTTTATAAGAAGTAATAAATAAAATGAGTTATGTTTTAAATATATTTTGTTATACCCATTATTGATGATAAATAATATATGTCATGTAATAAGTGTCATGTAATAAGTGTTCCTCTCAAAGCCCCCCACATCTTATATTGATATTAAAAATATTTTGCACCTAGTGAGCTACATCTCTGCGGGCGTGCCTGTAGTTAGGTACACATATTATGAATATTGACTCATCATGAAGTATGAAACACTTATTTGCCATTTTACGAGTGCATACTTAAATAAATTCAAGGTTTAGATAACTGATAAAATGGATTACATAAAAAAAATTAAAAAAAAATTATTTCCGTTATTTACTTAATTTGCAGGTTAATAATATAATACCTTAGTAATTTTAATAAGCTTATGAAATATTAATGCACACATATATAAGTTATAACTTAACCTATCCAATACCTAGTCAATAAGTAGGTTGTTTGAAAACCACACATGGTTACAAACAATTAGAACTTGGGTAGAAACGCGTTTCCGATAAAAATCATTTTTCATTTTATACCTACAATGTTCTATCATTGAATTAAATTTCAACACATCCACAACTTTAGGCAGGGATTAGCCTGCCCCCCGGGCCTCGGGCATTTGTATGACATTTTGGGCCTAGCGTTATAAAAAATTATATTCGGTGGCCTCGCCTAAAATAAATTGCCCCAGACCTCGCACCACTTAAAGCTCGGCTCTGACATGACCCACTCATGGCGAAGTACACTCAATACATATTATATCGCATAGAATAGCTGAGAAGTGATTACCTATACTTGACAATTATTTATTATTATTATTATCATCGTCGCATTATTACTTTTTGTTTTTGCGTTACATTTTATGCGTCTAAAATTCAGAAAATGAAATAAAAATACAGATCAAAGTAGTTAGTAAACACGAAATTAAGGCCCTTACAAACGTGTCAGTGATAAGGAGTTGTGTTTTGGCAATTCGTTCGTTCCCTGAGGTCACTTCTCGTGTAGGTAGTGAATGATCATTGTAGCGCGTGTGTACTGACTACTGTGTATGCTCCCCCCCAATTATCCACATCATATTCATATTAGTAGGTATATTACACACCTTCACTGGGTCCCTCATGCACATGACATATTTTTCAGTCATAAGATAAAAATATTCAAAATCAATTTATGGACTTGAAATAGCTATACGCATGACAAAAATTTTAGTACTTCCAACTTTAAACAATGTAAAAATGTTTGAAATTTTGAATGCATAAACAAAATTACTTTGCATCGGAAAAAACACTTTTTCAACTTAAGCGAATTCTTGAAAGAAGTAAACATTTCACATTTTATTAATTTTTCAATTTTTATATTAAATATATTAAAAAAATATTAAAATATTGAATATATGATCCGGCGGATTCAAAGTAAACTTCTTCATAAAATCTTTATGTTTTTTAAATCAAAAGTTCAGAAGTACCTTAAATGTTGTCAGCTACCAAGGTCGTTTTAATGAAAAATGTATAGAAATATTGCAGGGACCTTAGTCAATAAAAAAAAAACTTGTTCAGTGTTCTATAACAATTTAAAGGGGCCACTGATTGTACTCCACCGTGGATGGCTCAAAGTAATCCCTTTTACTCAAAGATTTTATTAAAGACACTGTACAGATGTCCGTCAACTTTTGGAGACCAAAATAAGATATACTGTTGTTACGACTCGGATGGAGATGTTGAATGTTGCAATTTTCAAGAGTATTTCGCTTTTAGGTAAAATATTTTAATTATTATAACAAAATCGTCTAAGGAAAAAAGGTTCAGTATAATGGAATAATTTGTATATATTTCAGATTTTTTTGTCTTATTCCAATTATTTTAATAGTGTTAATCATTCTATCAGTTGTCGGCACTATGTGTTGTTTTCTGTGCCCATTTTGCACGATTTATAAGCGCAGACAAACTAGAAGTAAGCATAACAATTTGATGTATTTCCTGCACTAATATTAATTTATGTTAGTTCTTAAATACATTTTATACCTTTATCATGATGATTAAAATATCCATATCACATCTTCCTGGATTTTACTATTTTAGTGTTTTGATCAAAATACTTGGCTTCCCCCAAACTAATTAGTAGGTAATTTAACAGGTTGTGCACCACCACCGTATCGTCAGACAAGTACAAGATTTCCTCAAAGACCCGTGGATACCATTTATTCAAGTACAAATTTAAGTATTTCAAAAAATAGAAATTTAGTCAGCATAATAGATAGTACATGGCAGTACAGATTGAATTCTTAATGTGCTTCTGAGCTCGCCTAACATAAACCTATATTGTTACAAATTTATATGAGCTATACGCCAAGAGCGTCCGCAGGTATTTGCCAAAAGGAGGGGGGGGGGAGCAAAGTATTTTAATTTTTCAATTTTCCACTATCCAATTTGTTTTTTATTTATAATTTAATAAATATTTATATTGTGATATTTTATACTACATAATTATTAAGGCTGGGATTTCAATGCACTATTCATTGTTTTTGTGCTGGGCGATGCTCGTTTTATAACATTCACGTATCATGTATTTATGAATTTGAATAAGAATTTTAAATTTTATGATCGTTTTTTTTTCCATTTTTTTTTTAGAGCAATTCTAGATTTTACATCCAATACGATCAGTTCTATTTGTAACACTTTTTCTATAATCCTTTAAAATATACATCATAATTTGTATTGAAAATATCAAAAATAAAAAATAATTAGTTCACTATTTTAGTGCATGGATCAGAATTTTTAGGGCATTCAAATCCCAGCTCTAATATTGATTAAGAATTATGATAAATGATATAGAAAAATCCAAGGAGGGCAACTGCATTCACTCCCCGCCACTACATCCCTGCAGACGCCCTTGGTACATACTACTTATATCGCACATCTGTATATACCTATAGGTAACTTATAACAACGATTTGAACGAAGCTCATACGTTTATTTAATGTTGGAAATAAATTGAACTTTTAATTATTGTACATCGAGTAAACGTACTATAGATACTAAAATACCAATATTCTTAACATAGGTATAATTTTGAATTGAACGGAAAAATTCAATATCCTTTGGGTACCTATTGGTTTTTAATTTGTTACATTTTTGTTAATTGTAAGTAAAATAAAAGTAATTTTCCAAACTATAAGACATTAACTTTTATAGTACCTACCCATACATAATATTTATCGGAATAAAATGTACACTATATATGTTTTTTATTTATTTGCCTAAAAATAATATGCATTTTATAATTTTTTTAGGATAAATGATGACAACCAAGGATCAAGATGCATCTCATATTCTCATTATCTCAATATTAATAAAAATAAACAAACAAAAATTATATTTTAAAAAGAGGAAATAATACAATATTTTTATTATAGCTCTATATATTCTCTAAATGTTGCTATAACTATGCCTTAGGGTTATATCTCTGTATTTAAGGTCACTTACAACGCACAACATAAAACAGTAAGTGTTTTTTTTTGTCGTAAATTTTGTTTTAAATAAACTTATGAATAATTAAGTTATTTTTATTTTTATTTTAATACAATAAATAACAATAATCATTATAATTTGTAAAAACTATTTAATTTTAACATTAACCAAAAGGTCATTAAAATTCTTGGTGACATTAAGGGTCACTGCCTAAACAATAAGGTAAAGAACTGTTTGAGTGATGACCACATGTCCACATATTATACTACTTCATACTTACTATAGTATCTGTATTATCATAAGTGTATTTTTGTGCTGAAAACAAAAGTAGAACCAGAAATTCATTATAGCTGGTTTATATTTTTTTCATTTATTTAAAAATTTTTTAAACATGATTTCATTTAAAAACCGTTAATATATTTTTTATTTTTTTTTACCTTAGGTTTGAATATTTAAAATAAGATTTCATTGCAAAATTTAAAAAAAAGTTAACCATCACGCCACATTATTTTTATGAAATTTTAAATTTTAAATGCTTAAAATAAACTTGGCATATTAACACTAAACATGATTTTAATGGTTTAAATTGTTGACTTAAGATTAATTAATCTAGTTTTTATTTGACGTATGTATAACATTTTTATTTTTGAGTTGAAATATTTATAAATGTAATACAAGTTTCCTTAAAAGTATTTCTTAGAGCAACTAAAATCTATGGAAAATAGGCATACAAAATAAGTTTTTTTTTTGTTTGAATGTTAATTTTAACTACTAAATCCATCAAAATTGCAAACTACCTATACTGTAGCTAAAAAAATCATTAAAGTTTTAATTTTTAAAACAATAGGTTTATACCTACCCAAAACCCATATTATTTTATGAAATAATGTCTTTTTAAAATATGTATGAACAATGAACATACACAAGTAATATTAGTTAATGCAACTGAAACTTATTGAGGCTATACAGTTGTACACCCAAAAAACAATTGGTAAAATAAATAGGACATAATTTTTATCTTATATTCTTTATAGTTTCAAATCATTTAAAATACTTGTTAAAATAAATTATAAATATTTTAATGTATTAAAAAAAAAAAAACTATTTATCAAAGACTTTGGTTTGTTTTATTTAAAAATAGAATGATAAAAGTGTCATATTTTAAGTATTTTCAATGTCCATTATTTATTTTGGTTTCACAATGGCACTAATTATTGTTTAATAATTACAGAATCTATACTATTTGTAAAAATAATAATCTTTGTTATAAAATTTTCACCAAAATAATTTAAAAAATGTTATCGGATATAATAATATTTATTATTCTCCATAAAACAGCATAAAAAGTTTTACATATTCAACCAATTAAAAAGTAAAATAAAAAAACAATTGTGTTAAATCTAATGTAGCAAAATAAATTAATTGACATCCAGACTATTATTTTAAATGCATTTGGCACCGGATTTATATGCAACCTTATAAAACAGTTTGAACTGAAAAAATTCTTAGTATTAAATTATTAAATTGATACAATGTTAAAATAATAAGAGTATGTAAATAAAAACATATATTTGCGCTTAACATTAAATGTATTTAATAAAAATAATATTTTAAATATATAAAAAGAAATACATCACTGACAGCAGCTTAATATTTTACTTATTTTAAATGAATACAATAATATTATATTTGCATGTGTAAAAATAGTATGCAGATTAAAAAACTAAATTTAGTAATAAAGTAATAAATATTTTCAAAAATATAAATTTAGATATAATATTAAATATATATATATGTATATAGTAATACTTAATACAATAATGAAAAATCATGAAAAATTAATTTTTAATTTTACAATTAAGAAGTGTATTATTATTTAATGTCAACATGTATTGTTCATTTTTAAATCCATTTAACTCTAAATTACTTACAAATTGTTATTAAATTTATCAAAGACACTTAACATACTATAAAGTAATACCTAATATTGATGAATTAATTGCATTAGTTAAATATTTTAACTATTAGTAATGTTTAGGGTACTCATTAGGTATTAAAGGTGTAGAACCTGTTGAAGCTGAAAAAAAATTACATAATGAATACATAGTATAAATTTATAAATATATACATTATGATGGTAATTGTATAGATATTATTTTGATCACTTTAAATGTAATTACATTTTTCAAAATTATGTGTGCTGAATATAAATAGCATATTTTTGGTACACCCATTTTTCTATTACCCATCTGCAATTAGCATACTTTCAGTAGACTATGCCCTCACTACAAAGTTCTATCTTATAATATATTCCAATAACATTTTCTTTATCATTTTTCCATGAGTTATTCAAAAGTTGGACACACAATATTGTCTTAATCAAGTTGTCAATAAAAATACTATACTCTATTACAAATAAGTTTGGAAAAATGTACGATGAAAATACATCCAGATTTGCGCAGGTGTTATCTGCCAGCGCCTAATCACAACGAGTAACCGATAATTGTAGCCAATCACAGCAGACCTGAATGCGCTATTTTTTCCAGACTTATTTGGAATAGAGTATATGTTGACTTCATTCCGTATTTTTTCCAGACTTAAAATGTTTCCTTCTGACATAAATTACAACCAAAATCTTAATAATAATGGTTAATTTCTTGAAATTGTTGGCAAAATTAACACTGTAAAGCAATTTTTGAATAAGACAAAAATCAATTTATGGTGTGGTCTTTCGTGACTGGATCAGAAAAACATTTGATAGCCGTTTGAGGTTACTCTTATATGGGACGTAATACTTAAATTTAACTAATAAATAATTATCATAAAATATAAATAATACCTGAAGCATAATAGGATCCATGATTGGATATTACAGATGGCAAACCTTCTATAATGACACAATTGGTTGAAAGCGGTCGAACAAGTACCCCTGCAGTAATATTTTTTTAAACACAACCTGTGAAAATGCATTAAATTGTAGTCAGTTTTTATTCACGGGAATTATGAAATCCACAACCGACACAATTACATGCATTTTCAAAATACCAATACAGCAAATAATATTCAATTTTAGTTTTAAAAATAACATCAACTAAATTAGTTACATAACTTGATTTAAAATAAATATCTATAAGCTAAGCGTATTTATTCAATAATCAATGTGGAATTGTTGAAATATAATTAAGGAAAATATGAGTGGTTTTCATATAAAAATTAAATTGAATTAAGAAACTGATAGTAGTTAAAGAACATTTACTATTAAAGTCTAGAGTAGTAAAATAACATGAATTTAAATGTATAAAATCTAAAATTAATGAAATATAGAATATAGCTTATAGCTGATATATTGCATCATTATTATTTTTTATATTAAGAGTATTGAAATAGAAAAATGTTGAATATTATTTGTTCATATAAATGCAATATACTTAGTTATATTTAGCTTTACATAAGGTGCAAGTACTAATAAAATCATGCAATACTAGACATACTTCTATTTTGTTCTGGAATATTATAGTTTGAGAAGGTGCGTTGTTATAAATTTGTCTATGTATGTTATAATAACTAATAACCTATATTCATAATCTGATTAATATTAATTCATATTTATCAAAATATTCGTTGGTTTTTAAATGACCATTAATGTAACAAATAATAAATAATTTATGTTAATAGAACATGCATGAAGAAAATAATATTATCCAGAACAAGCTGTGAAAACGGAACTGCAATATTAAAAGGGAATATTACAAGATAAATAAATAAATATCAATACTTCTATATTACTTCTAAAAGTGATTTAGAAATCATCTATTAAGTATGGTTGTTGTTATTAGTGTTATTTCTTAACTAGTTTGTCTTTTTAATTATGAATATTTAATAAGCCATTTGTTAAAGTACTACTTACTGCCAGATTGCCTACGTTTGTAAATAGCGCAACATGGGCACAATAAACAACAGATGCAACTGAGAATGGATGAAAGAATCAGCAAAACAATAAGAATTGGAATAAGGCAAATCAACCTGAAAAATATAAAAATAATTAAAATGTAGACTTTAACAAATATAATAATAGTGGCCTGGTGTGGCGCGGTGTCTACATTCAGTTGCGTACAGGCTCTGAATGTACATACCGGCCAGTGTAGTTAGCCATCTGGGATTTTTAGCAACAAATTCTTACCACCCTACACAAACATGTGTTCAAACTAATCGTTCCTCCCTACTGACAGCTAATAGCCCAAGTTGCCAGGTATAATATCAATAAAAAAATATATATATTATAATAGTACATTCACACGTACCCAAAGAGCATAAATTCTTGAAAATTGCAACATTCCACCTTTCCGTCAGTATTATAACAGCAATATTCTTTAGCTGGATCACCAATAATAGGCGTAGGACATCTGTTGACAGAGAAAGATTCAACCTTGGAGATGAATGGATTGTTGTCTACTAACCATGGCAAAGTACAATCATTTGATCCTAATATAAAAATAAATAAGATTAGTGAATACAATATACAGTGAAACGCCAACAACAACTAAACACAACAACTTAAATTTGTAATATAAAGAAATTTTTATAATAACATAAATTTAGTTCTAATTTTGTAATGGTTCTGAAAAATATTGTTAAATTAAAGTTTCGATACAATAATTATATTTACATGTTACACGTTAAATCTACGTTATTACAGTAAGAATATATAGGTACATTTTTTTATTAATCAAACATTAAGTAAATTCACTAATGAGTATGGCTAAAAATGTTAACATTAAGTATTTGATTAACTGATAAAAGTACATTAATACCTATAGTATATTATTAATGGAAAATAAACATTTAGAGTTGATGACTGACTTGAAATCAGTACAAACTATGTGGAAAATAATATTTTTTTTTTTAAATTAAGCAAGTATTAGGTGGACTATTATTAAGTCACAATGCTCCTATTATGATCTTTTTACTAATTAAAAAAAAAAAGGAAGTACCTATAGGTAATAACTATGACAAACAAAAGGTATCTAATGCAATTAGATGTGTATGTATAATATATATTACATGCTATACTCTATCTCAAATAATTTTGGAAAAAAATGACAGAAACCCACCACAATTCGGGCATGAGCAGTTTTATTAGATGCTGTTGCTGCGCTGCCGACAACTGGCCAATCAGTGATCCTACGGTTCCGAGGCCGAATAAATTTCCAAACTCGGGTATTCGAAATAGTGTATATACAATACTGCCGTCATAAGCGAAAACACCGTAGGTCACCAAAAAACGATTTTAAGAAAAACGCATTTTTGTATTTTCATAAAATCATAACACCTTGTACATTCTAATTATTTAAATATGATATATGGTTTTTTATGTAATTTTACCCAACAAATGCAATGAAACAATAATAAATATGATTAAATTAATAATTGACAAGATATTTTACTTTACTCGTTGTACCTTAGTATTGGTATAAACTTTTGCTAAACTATTCAAAAGCAAGAATGCCGTAACTCGTAATTATCAATTTCTGATATGATAAAATTATTTATATTTTTTTCTTTAACCTTGCATCGATAATATTCATACGTAATATAATTACGATCTAATTCAGGGAACTTTTCTATAAAATGTTGGTGCATAAAAGTTATAGTGACATCACTTGGTAAATAACAAATGTTTGGCCCGTCTTCACGGCGATAATGTGAAACCAGTCCGTGTTACTAGGCCAAAATGCCGCCAATTAAAATTTGTACTATGTACTAAAAGATAAAATGCTGTATCTTCAATATTACTTACTGCGTTGATACTTAGTATGGTGATTTTATGGCGTTATTACCTAGTACTCATGAATTTTTCTATGGTTTACGGCGTTTAAGTTATTTGATTATTGATTGTATTATATGTTTGGAGTAATATTTCAGACACACGGCATATTCAACTACACAAGCCGAATTTCAGAATAATTTTTTGTTTATAACCTCATTTTTTATTTTTTTGGGACTTACGGCATTTTGCTTATGACGGCAGAATACACCAGGCATAAAATTATTATTTACTTGTTTAATTATTAAAACAATAATAAGGACCATTGTGGACAAAGTGCAAGCTGTAGCCTATGCAAATAGTAATTGATACTATCAGTCAGTAATAAGACCTTGGACATTGGAGTGACAAATTGAAAACAACAATGATTACAAATCATCTGCTTACCCGTTAACAATAAAATAGTAGTGCCTCAAATAAGAACATGTTTAGAAACCTCCTCATCAACGTCTAGGGCCTAGAATCTAATCTAACCTAACTAGATTCAAGACAACAAAATTAGCAATACTTAAAAAAAAACTTGTTTTTTTTTGGTTTTGAGAAATTTTTGAGGAGCACATATCACAAACAAAATTCATCCATTGCATCAGACTAGAAATTTGTTTTAATGTGAAATTTTAGCAGGTTTGTGAACACCTTATTATCCAAATTATTAAATATCTTGTTTTAAATATTGTATTTGTTGTGATAAAAGAGCAATCGTTGACAACTTTAAATTAATTCTTTCTCCAATCCTGGAACGGGAATTGAACAAAGTTCTATTTAATAAGGTAAATTAAACTTCCCAAGCACTGGTGATTAGACAATCAGATCTATCTTAGGTAATTGTACTATTAATATATGCACCTTCATTTTCAAGAAAATAAATTGTGAAATAGAAACGATGGCCCTTGTCACCAAACCCAAATCAATAAACAAACAGTTCAAACGAGGCACAGAACTACAGCAGAGATCAATAACATCTAAAACCGGTTAATATTTAATATTTAAACCTAGGTTTACCGATGGACATTTGTTTTTAACAATCGAGACTGATTCCCGATTGCCGAACAACTCACCTTCAACCACGCAGTTGCAGAACGCAAAAGCCACTACCAACAGCGTTAATCCTTTGACGGCCATTGTATCGTCGGGCGTATGTATGATTTATGTTCAGTCTGCGAAAAACACGACAATGAACTAGTTAATGATCAAAATATTATATTGTTTATAATTTTCAAAAATATCATAATTCAGACTTAAAATGTAGGTATTTATTGTCTATGATAACCATAAAATAGCGCAAGTAGTAAACAATAACAAATTATTATGTAAATAGTTTTTCGTAGATAGCGGTAAGCAATTAACGGTAGTGTGAACGTACCAACCTGTGGCACAAACGTGTGTATAATAATATTATTATTATATTAAAAAAAATGGAAAGTTGCAAACGGGAACGAGAAAAGAGTGAGAGTTGAGACTGACAAACAACACGGAGAACACAGTAACGGCAGGACGCACGACAGTACAACGCTGAAAACTGAAACGACTAAAGAGTAAAGAGTGAAACTGTCAGCGGGTCGGAACTCGGACGACGGAGACGGGAGAAGACGGACGGTCACTGGTCAGACGGAGAGGATGATGGCTGGGGCAGACAACTACAACGTCTACAACTTTACTGACTAGGGCGCTTGGGCTTGGCGTTGGCAAACGGCGAAGGCAGCGGTGATGGCCGATGGGCGAGTAGCGATGTTAGACGGGAGGGCGACGGTGTCGAGGACAAAGACACCGCGGTACTAACCAGTATTTTACAGGCTAACCAATACAAATACGGCGGCCGTCAAGGACTGTTTTTTTGTTGGGACACCGAAGGGGGGCCCGTCGTATAACCAGTAACAACAACGAAAACTGAAATACTGCGCCGTGACCCGAACTACAGTATTCCGAAAGATTTAATATTCTAATATATTATTATTATAACAATAACAAAAATGACGATAAACCGTTCGAAAACGATAAAATGACATGATAAATATTAATGATGAGTTCATAACACTCTTGTGACACTGTCAAATAACAAAATAACAAATCGTCGGCATGAGCACTATACGAAAATATATGATATTATTACTGGACACACTTATAAGTTAAAATAAATTACATGTCACATAATAATGTTAATTGTTATCATTTGGGTCTACTCTTGTTATTTTAATTTTATTTGTGTGAGATTTTAATAATGTTTTGCGGGGGTCTTGTCTGCATAATTTTTAGGTATTTGGGTAACGATTTACGTGTCCACTGGAAAGCGGCGGCGCGGCGATGATAAATAAATCGTTATGCATTGCCTATTAGTCATTCACTCATTACTCAATGCTCATAACTTCGGATGAAAAGTTTTAGAAATTATGGCATATTTTTGTCTATGTCTTCAGTTTATTGATAGGTAAGATTAAAATCTGTTCCATAACCTAATGAGATCATATTTGTGGTTTTTATTTGCATCTTTTCACATATTTCGGTACCTAATTTGTTTAATAATTGCATATTAATGATGTTTTTTGTACATACAATTGCATTTGTAGTACAATTTATATCAAATCAAAAAGTTGAATACAAAATCTGTAATCTTAAACTTTAATACTTAATATATAGTTCAAACCTAGCTAAAATGTAAAACTTATATTTATTAACTTATATTAAGTATTGTATTATAAACTGTAATTTAAGTGTTAGTATTAATGTATTGTATATTTATATAAACTATTGTTCGTTTATTATCGAATATTACAACATTTATATTTGAATAGATATATAATAATAAGTATATATCCAACTGTAAATTGTTATTCAAAATATTTTTAAAAATTATTTAAAAAACTAAAATTCCAGTTTTTACATATTTTATTGATATATTTTGCAAATGTTACTTCATATAACTTCTCATCCCTACTCATTAAGAATATGGATTATAACAACTCGGTAGTGTGCTCGTATCCGGATGACCATGTCCCCCTCCCCAAACAGACTAAAACACTTTCCCTTGTTTCAGCTTCCAGAAGAACTTTTATAATAATTCACCAATTGAAAAGCCTAAATAAATACATTTTATGCCAAAAAAAAAGAAATGAAAGAATACGTGTCTTACACTTGTAATAAAACTCTTTGGATGGTATAAATTAACAACCCATTCGCGCCTCCCAGATTTTCACTCTGGATTCTTCCCTAAATCGTATCACGCTATAGGTACATAGCATATTTACATTGCATATTTGTATGATAATATTAATCATTGATTCGATTTACAATAATAACTCATGATTTAGGTTTAAGCCAAGTGAATGTTGATGAATAAGTTGTAATTGGGCTTATAAATTAGAAAGAAAAATGTGAAATTGAATTGAGTGAATTAATTCATCTGAATATTTCAAAACTCACAATTCCCATCTCTAGACCATATAGTATTATGGTACGAGATATAAATACTAAGTAGACAACCGTCGAACAATGGGATCGACTCATCGGCTGCGTCATAACGCCACAAATATTTATCAACAATAATAGCGATTAGCGAGTAGTTTTAAGACTTGAGAAAAATTGTCGCCTTCGATTTACGGCAGTTATAACAATAATTATCTTTATCTTTATTACTTACGACTAATAGATATGACTCAACAAAAGTAGTAAATTATTAATACTTATATTTATAAATTATACCTAAATAATAGACATGTTTTCGAACGATTTTCTGTCTCAATATTAATAATTGAATACATACCTAATCCATCATATATTACCATAATAACATAGGTTGTATTTGTGTCATGACAGTTACGCACTTCATAATATAATACATATAAAGGGGCTGTAAAGTGGAAAGGTCCAATGAAATATGTTGAATAGAATAATATACCTATCAGAATTTTTATTTTTTACTACCAGTGCCACCTTATGTTTATTTACGTCATTATTATTTAGTCCAAAATAATTTAATATGCGTTATTGTGTAAACATTATTTTCTTAATAACAAAAATCGATCAATTTCTGAGTGCGAGAAAAACTAAACTTAACGTCAATACGGTATTAAAAGGTCACCCTAAATTATGTATGTAATAAAAATACAAGTACATAATGTAGCCATCTAGGTACTATATATCATAAATATGCACAAATAAATAATTATAATAAGCATCACCTAACCCGAGTAACCAATAATCTATATCATAATATATTCATATACCTAGATACTATATACGTCTAATATATAGCGATTTTTAGGAATGACAAATATAGTGTCAAGTTTAGCTTCAATTGTAGGGCCACGATGGCACTTCAATAATTTAAATTATCAATCGTCAGATCAAAAATATTCTTAAAAATTATGGGTTATTAGTCTTATTACTTGTTAGGACGTTAGGTTATAACTTGTATAAACCAAGTGTCCAAGTTTTTTGTCAATAATTTTCATAATGTAGATAAATGTTTAGTTACACTAGAAGCTAAAAAACAAAATAGATAAATGTAAATACTATAATTGCTAGTTGAATAAAATGATAAACAAATATAAATGATTAAAGAAATGTCTAGAAATTAAAAATAATTCAATAGCATTATTTACTGATTCATAGCTAATCTACCTACTATACGTTTATACATTAGGTACATACCTATTACCTATATAGGTTAGGTTAGGTTAGGTTATAAGTATAGTTGCAGTCTGCATTCTGAATATTTTTCTTTTCTTTTTAGGAGGTTGTTTGATTTTTTTTATCAAATACCCATATACACTTTTATGTCTGGTTATCGGTGTATAAATATTGAAATTAATTTATTAAACTGTTTTAATATTATTCCTCTACTATATACTTAGTATTTTAATTTGTACTTATTATTTACCTAATTAAATATATTAATTCTATACACATGTCATTATTGTTAAAAGGTCTAACGATAAAAATAATTTTATTATAAACATTTTTTAATGAATTATGATTAGGTACCCTTGAAAATAACATACCTACTTCTTTAGTAAATGTTGCATGTCTATATTACTTTTAATTTTAATTTTAATAGTAATATAATTAATCTGACACTTTTTTACTATCGTTTAACCATTATAGATGTAAATATATAATATTTTATCGAATACTTGATAAGTTAAATTAGAATAGTAGAATATTTTTAATTTACTAAATGTAATATATAATATTCATTCGGGTATTCTACATGTTAGTACAATGGTACCTATTGATGGTTATTATTTATTAGTAGGTAAAATAATTACTAAATACACACAAAATGGTCGTTATACATTATATTTATATATTTATTATTATTATATATTTGTGTGTATACACTATCACTATACACACATTTATATCAATATATCATATATGACTATACTAATATATTGTATACGTTTATTCGAGAATTATAAAATAGGTATACTAAATTATGTATTAACGTAATAACGTATTACGATTGAATCAACGATTTAACGTGCAAAATAGTTCTATGCTATAATACACATACACGGCGATACGCCTGAAATCGTGATGAGATCATGGTTCATGTACCCATTATATTTTGCAAGGCCAAGCATATTCTCTAAAACCACGAATTTCTCATATAGATACTATAGTCGAAAAAACGTGTCTCGTCTACAATAAGGTAGACCTTCCAGACTGTGGCATCTATTATTACCTGTGTCTGCAGAGTGTGGATTGCGAATATTTCCGGTTTTAAGAGTATAATATTTTTATTCAAATTGTATAGGTACTAAAAACAATTATCAATACAATATAATACTCTTGAAAAATATTGTGTATTAAATTCAGAACGTAACGACATTTTACGATGATTTGTGTATATAATTAGTAATTACACGTGCATGGTGCGTGCATTTCTTTATTTTTTTTAAATTAAGCCTACATGACTTACAGAACTCTTTTCTATACACATCTAATTTTTTTTTAATAAGACATTTACCAAACCTAGGTATCTGTTATCCTTATCACATATTATTTTTTTATTTTTTATAAGTAAATGTTTCAGCATATTGTACATGCTATTACAAGTTCGTAGATTACAGTTTAATTGCGGTTTAATGAGACATATTATTTGTGATCAAGTATTAGGTGTGGAAAGAGAGGCCATCTGCCCATCTAGTGCTCTGAAACAGAAGAGGCAGTATGCACTTCAAGAAGGAACTTAAGAAAAGGTTAAAGAAAAGGTTAGGTTAAAAGCATGTGTTGGACAGACGACCCAGTTCACAGCCGAATTATAATAAGTTCCTACAAATAAATTTGAATAACTGCAAAGCAGCCCAAGATTTAATGAATCAGACCAAAGGACTGAGATATTGAATGATATCCTCATGGTGCGTACTGTCACTGGTCTGTCAGAATACAATTTATAGAAGTGGACATGGAGATTGGTATGGTATATTGGTATCTACTTCCTATACCAAGATGCAAATAAAAGGGTGGTGATAACTGATAGTTAATTTGGAAGACAGACCAACGTAGAAGGAGGGATCACAAGAATCAGGATTCAAATATGTGCAATTTATACTTATATTTGTTTATAATTTATATAACTGTTTTACAACAAGTTATCGTTAAACTATTCAAGTTCCTCAACATTCATTATGAAATATGTAATGATAAATTTCAAAATTGCTGCTATGGTACCCATATAGTTAGCGACAAATGGTGTATTTGGTGAAATGGTAATATGTAGTTAGAGTTAAAGGGTGTTTATTTTCAATTAGGTACCTATTTCAATCTAAGTGGTGAAAACCTAAACAGTTAGGATAATGTTTCTCATACATAAGTAACCTAGATTTTAGAATAAATTACGGTAAAAAATATATGGTTATTAAAAGATTTAAAAATGTATTTATTTTTATATTTTTTAATCAAACATAATTGATTTTTTTTTAATTAAAAAAAAGAAGCGAGTTTACAACAAATTATTGTCCCTTGTCAATTTTGTAATAATATGAAAATATGCTACTGCTAATATAGAGCAAACTACCGCAATTACGTGAAGACGTAATTTTTTTTTCAAAATTTTATATTTATTATTTCATATACTTAAATTAGAATACTAAGCTTAATAGTGATAAAAGTGATAAAAAATAATAAATAATGTCATAGAAAGAAACGACAGAGAGAAGAGGCCTTCTCTAAGGAGGTACTTCACTACTTCAGTATTTTAGAGTGAATATTAATTAATAAAGTAACGGTATACTAATAAACTAAAAATAATAAAGTAATAATAATAAAAGCCACAGCTGAAAGTGGTATACATTGTAAACATATAACTAAATATTGTATAAACTAATATAAATAGTTGTATATTGTTACACAGTTAAATCAAAGTTTTTTAGTAATTACTTGTTTAAAATCTGAAAATAATATGTAATAAAAATAAACTTTATTCATTACTGTGTGTAAAATCGAAAATTGTTTCATCTCCAGCAGTGGTTGATTTTTAACAGTTATAAAAAAAATATTAATATTAAAAATATTTAACAAACAAATCAGTGACAAAGAAGATTCTTAAAGTTAAATTCATTTACAAAATACAGTGGATTAAATTTTCAAAATACAAAACGATTGTCAGTTATCTACAGTTATCCTTGTAGAGTATTTAACGCAATGGAATTTTTGTCACTGAACTAAATACAGTTTATTTTAGTTCAGTGGGTATGAGACATATGAAGGAAAACCTATTTAGAGCTTATTGTATGTCCAAAAATATCAATGTATCAAAACCCTGATATCAATTTGGTCACATAACAAAAATGCCTAATTAGTTATTACCTATTAGTAATAAGTAGTAACCAATAACCAATAATTGAATGAAGTTTCAATGATTGGTTAAGCGAGATTTTTATTTTTATGTTTTTATTTAATAGAAAATTTACAATCTGTATTACATAACGCAATGAGTAAAAAAGATGACTGACATAACATACATACATAATAAAAATAACACATGAAGCACAAGATGAGGGAAATCATCCAGCGATGGTTCCCTCCAGTGGTTAAGCGGGATTAAAAATGTTTATGTGGAATTCATGCTGTTTTCCCGTTTTAGAGATGTTGTTAGCAAGTAGATCTGCAGATCTACGAGCAAAGTATTACCAAAAATAAAGGGTGGTGTACCACTGCACCAGTTATTAAACTAAGTGTTGTGGATTGGAATGATTAATTTGTTGATAGATTTGAAGGTTTGGTGACTTCCCGTGTTTAGATGCCATAAACCATAAACGCACATAGGGCCTATATTATTATTTATTCAATTATACATAATTGTTCAAGAATCAACATTTTCGGCTTTTCCCATGTATGGGGTAAACCATTCATTGAGTACGAATGATGCACGTTTTCGTCTAGCATAGTTGCTAGTTGCTTTCCATAAAAATCCGTTGTTTTACCGAGGAGGTTGTTCACGAAAAATAGGAATCAGATGTAATGTTAAAATTAGTTTCTGAAATTCTGAATTGTTGTGTGTTTGTTAATTGAAAGGTAGTGTATTATTTTGACCAATAGACGTAATACTACTATTCCAATATAAGTTATAACTATTCATTTTCGTATAATCGAGGGTGTTTGTATTTCATTAATTTCGGTCAATTCGGGCGCCTAAGGATAAGATAACGTTAGCGCCATCAGTCGCAACATTTTTACACTTTTCCTCACGATGACTGTTAGTTTTGTCGCTAGATAGCGATGCCATGCAAGGTTTTGATCACGATTTAAAATTATACTAATACTGGTGTTTTTAAATGCATGAAATATATATTTTGCTATGTTTCGTGAAATATTTCGATATTTTAATAAATCTTGTTTTTATTTATTTTTACACACATTTGTCATTAGCTATTGTTTTCTTACTCAATCTTTGATTGTCGGAAAAAACTTTGAGTGCATCAAAGGTTGATAGCAATTTAATAAAAAAAAAAGGTGGACTGGACAATAAGGCACTACTCTGCTGTAGACGCCTGTAGTATAGCAAGTGTTAAGTGGGTTACTGTAATGGTTGTGATGAAAATTGAATTCAATGAGAATATGTCATTTCAAAAATGATTTTGAGCGGAGATAGTACCTTATTCCTAAGTAAATTGTATCATATAAGTCAGCCGAGGATATTTTGTATTCCATTTATATTGTCATAAGTCATTTGCAAGGCTGTGAATTTATTGTAATTTAAAACTATTAAATATGCACTAAAAACTGACCAAATATGCTCTAAAAATTCTTAAAATATGCTCTAATTTTTCAAAAATATGCAAAAAAAACCACAAAAATTTAACTTTTATTTTTATTTTTTTCATTTTAACTTTTTATTAATTTTAATATAAAAATTAGTATTGTTACTTATTGATATGAGTATATTAATTATTGGGTTTACTAGTCTTAATCTTCGTCGTATACAAGATCTATAAAAGAAATATGCTTAAAATAGATTATATATTTCTACTTAAAATTTATATATTTTACCTTAAAAGTAGTTATTGCATTGTACAATCAATGATTTTTTTAACTTTTAAACTTGAAAGACCTAATGTTTGGTGTCAACATACCTAGTTTTATATAAAGAAAGTGAGTGTTCTACGCCTGACGAAGTTATTGGGGATTTGGGGCTAACGCTAACTAGAAATACGTCATGTCGCTGCTGGTTAAATCTTCTGGTATATCCAAACCTTTTTTTTTATGTATTCAATAGTTTTTTTTTTTTTATTGAACTAAACATAATATTTACAATTTGTATTTACAAATTATACAATAAGTAAATGTGATGGGAATTGATTTACAGGGGGGGGGGAGTTGCCCATTGGCGACACCCCGTGGAAAGCGATTTAAGGAGAAAGTAGGTCCCTACACCAGTTCCTTTTCAGACGTTAGGGTGGATTACCTGGAATTTGATTGGATGATAGTTGGGTGATAGTTGGGTGATTATAGGATTAGAGTGAGTACTGAATGTTTTGTGTGTTTTTTTGTAGGTAATTTTGGCAAGGCTGTTTAAGGTTGGAATGCAGATGTCTTTATGAAGTGATTCATTGGTAATATACCAAGGGGCACCTGGTATTAGACGTAGATAAATGGACTGAAATGCCTGAATTGTTCTAGTATTTGAGGGTTTGGCTGAACCCTAAAGTTGTATGCCATAGTACCATCACATGGGTCTTAGAAGAGCCATGTATATTGTTCTTTTGATTTTTAATGAGAGCTTTGAGCGGAGTAAGGGTCTGAGAAGGTGGAGTCTTGAATTGAGAGCTTTACGCTTGTTTTTTAAGTGTGGACCCCATGTAAGGCGTTTGTATATCCAAACCTACCTTCTCTTTTTCACCAGTTAATATTTTTGTAATATTACACATAATTTGGAATCCTTTGTTTCTGTTAAGAACTGTTTGTTATTTGTTATTAATAGCAGTTCGGGCTGTATCTGTTAATTGATTAAACTTTGTTGAAATATCTTGTACAATTTCAGTCAATAATACACGTTAAATATACCTGAGTAAATATAGAATAGTTTCCACAAAACTATACAAGACATAGTTTATACAAATACATTTAATATTTTAATGTCAATTTAGAACAGATTGATCGAACAAATATAAATACCCATTACAAAAAAAAGCATTCATACAAAAAAATTATTAAAACATATGCAAAATGAGATTTGGGATTTGGAACTATAAATAAGTCAAAGTAAATTTTGGCTGAATCAATTTTATTATTATACATTATAGCAAAAAAACATGCAAATGCATTAAATTCACAACCCTGGTAATTTGTTTTACCATATAATTTATTATAAATTTAAAATTTAAAAAAATGTTAATACTTTTATACAAGAATGAAATAAAATATATGTCTTATTTTGTAAAAATCATAAACTTAAAAGAATAAAATCATTGTGGTAAACAAAACATATTAATCCAAATTAAAGTTTAATAATTCAAATTTAGATTTTATTTACTTATACACCATTGCTTGGTGACGAAAGAAAGATTCTTAATAAATTGTATAATATATTAAACAGTAAAACATATTTCAATTCTAGTATTGTGTAATATTATGTAATAGTAACAGTTTACCTACCTATTTTTACTATTTATAAGAGCATTTCTTCATAAGCATAGTTAAGTGGCTTGTGAGTGCTTAGCCCCCCCCCCCCAAAAAAAAAAAAACTTCGGGCCATCTAAATTCAAAAAACATTCAAATCAATCATTTATACGATATTTAAAATTTAAATCAATTGTTTTATGCCATTTTATCCATTACATTTCTTATAAGTTATAATATTATACAATAGTGCGTTGGTTTCATCTGTCGATATTACGTGGTTAAGGGGAAATTGTTGTAGCTAAAAACTGCCCGAGTCATGATCGTTTTTCGTCTTTAGCTATTATCAATATTGAAAGAGATGTATCAAATAGTACCAATTCTGATGATATTTTAGTGATATATTCTAAATAAAATAAACGTTTAATTTTATAAGTAAAAAAAATTTTTTTAATAAAACCTTAGATTGTCACATGTTATTTGTATTTTATGATGTATATCTGCAGATGTACGCTGGTTTGGGGGGGGGGGGCAAAGTCTCCCCACGAGTCGTTACATATCTGCCCCTGGAAGAACCAAGTTCGCCAAAAAAAATTTGATCACCCTACGCCTATGATGTTTACCCATGTTGCACAAATTCTGAACTCGATAAACGTTTCTACACAAATGAATATTGAATTATGATGTTATATTTCAATAAATATTAAATTACACTACACACTAATTAAAAACCATAAGATTTTTTTTTATGATAAATGAATGTAAACCAAGTATAAAAAAACATGTTTAAAATTTAAATTAAGAAAAGAAAATATCGACAGTCATCTACAATGTTAAAAATAGATTTGTAATAATAATTAATTATAAAATTATATTAGCTTATATTTAGTTACATAAATAGTATCATTATTGCATTGTCGTCGAAGATGAGTCGATTCCTGGGAAAAAAAATAAAGTTTCGCTAGGTATTAACAGTCGAAAACAAGACCGTAATATGATATTATCACTATTATGTAAACCACAATACTCAAGGCATTGATATCTTCAATATTTTACTTTTTTGTGAAATATTTCACCACGTATTTCATCTATACTGCAAACACTAATAACTTATACTAATTTGAAACATTTTTAGTTATATATTCATATAATTCTAATCTTTACCTATTTATCATCTAAGCAATATATTCCAGTATTAATTTAATTTATATGATGGTCTTCTGTCCCTCGTTTGAATGGTTACGGGATAACCATTAGCACTTCTCAATAATAAATCTAATTTCAACTTAATGTCATTAAATGTACAGCTTGTGTGTACGCTATAATTTCTCAAGAACGTAGACATCATCACTTTCATTGACAGCATAGCATATTTAGATCCTGCAGTTATAATAATAATAAAAAACAATCAAGTTACATAAATTCATCGTTTTAAAATACTATATTACCAATGCAGCCTCTCGGTCCACCACTAAAAGCTATAAAGCTATACTTATGACGTTTAGAAATATTCTCTTGGCTGAAGTTCTCTGGATTAAAATTCAATGGATTTGGATATAAATCACAATCACGATGAATGAATAAGGGGGCTATATAACACGTAGTACCTTTTGGCAGCACGTGATTACCAGAAACTAAAATAAAAATTAATATGTTGTAAAAACAAATTGCAGTTTTAAAATTTTTATCCTATAGTTCCTATTCACTCACTAATTTTAATATCATCTTGAAGTTCTCTAAATACCACAGGTAGAACTGGGAATAATCGAAGGGTTTCCTTTAAGACTTGTTCTAAATACACAAGTTTAGTAGTGTCTTCAGTGGTAATTGTTTGATCTCCATCACCAAATACGTCGTAAATTTCATCGTAAACCTTAGACTGAAATGTAAAATTATCAATTAATACTTGAGGTGGCTCAATAATTAATTTCCGTAAAATGTAGAACTTAAATGAAACTAAAACAATTAATATATGTATATTTATATTATAGCTATTCATAAACTACAAGCCTATACATAAATTATAAATATGTATATAGCAAACATTTTATTAGTTCTGCAGTATACGTTAAGTGTAATAAACTAATAACTAATAACTAATACTGGTCTAAGTGTTTAACTATATGTAATTCGATAACATAATGTATGCATGTAGCCAAGTAGGAATTATTTGGGTATTAATGAATAACATAGGTATTCAAACTTTTTTATTTCACAGCTCGTTCGACTTTTCACAACATATTGAGACTCTCATATTAGTAAGGACACAGAAACAAAAATATGTTTTAATTAAAACTTATTTAATAAATATATATAGTATAAATACATCAATTATATCGATACAAAAAATTAATAATAATTATGCATAAAAACTGAAATTAAATGTTTTATATGTTAAGAATAAAATAATATATTAGGTAGGCACGCGCAAGGTAGTTCAATACAATGGGCCCTGCAATTTTACATAACTTTCATTTTCATACATCTTTTTTAACTCAGCACATCTAAAAATGTTTGTATTTTATGCAATTTTGAAATTTATCCTCGTACCTACTTACACATATTGAAAATTAAGAGAATGCCACACCCGCATTCTTTGTCTCAGTCTTACTAACAAATAACATACCGGATTGTACGTTCTGAATAATTAACTTAGCTTTGTCATGATGAATCTAAGAGTGAATTGCAAAAAAAAAACTAATTTTCAAACTTGATAGTAAGAATATTATTTAGCCGATGAAATAGGTTTTTTTATATTTCAATTTTAAAGCTAGTTATGAATATTTTAAAATGTACAAGCTCTAAGATTAAACGTAACAAAGTTTAAATGAATTTTTTTTTATATTATATTATTTGAGATAAACAATATATAATATACCTTAGGGGCACAATAAGTTTATATGGTTAGAGTAAATTACACATGATACGCTTGACGTGAGAAATCATCCAATAATGACACTCAATATTGATTTTTTTTATATATATAATTAATTAAACAACTGAAGCTCTGATTTTGGATTAGTTGATGGGAGGGGTGTGAATAAGTAGGTCACGACACCATTTTCGTTTTAAACGTCTGGGTGGGTCTCCAGGAATGGAAAGGATTGCGAGATTTCGTATTAACGGGTTGCTAACGAGGAAAGACGATTGTGGAAATGAATTATAAACGTATTAGAACGAACAATTTGTTATGTTATGAGTTTGTTAGATGGAGACAAGGCATACAGGTATAGAGTCCCCTTAATAGTATTAAGAAAGAAAATAACATACAAAATAGTAAATATAAAATACAAAAGCAAACATTGAAGATAATATTTCAAGATATAAAAACGGCACTTTATCAATGTGTTCCAATGGCATTATTCAATTATTGTATTGGATAAATTTCAAAAAAATAAATATTTCATATATATTTTTTTTTTTACAATTTAGTAATCGATGTATACCTATTTAACTTATGATACATCCACCGGAGCAAAATATGCTTCTATTTCAGGTTCCTAGTATAAAAAATCGGAGCACTTGACGAACATAGGGAGCGGTGATGCCTAGTTTGAATATATTTCATGTATAGTAATATAGTGGTGTTGGCGATTTACATTGTGAATTTGTCTCATAATTTATCAGTAATATTTCAAATAAAATTATATAACACTCCTCTCCTAATTTTCACTAGCCAGTGAACAGCTCACTTCCCACCTTTGCTATACTATATCAGAAACAGATCCAGAGGGAGGGAGGGGGCTAAAGGCCCAAGCCACCCCAAACATATTATTTCTTTTCTCATATTATTATCTTTTTCATAGATCCTGAAATTAAGAATAACGTGTACATTGTTATTGTATTTGTTTTGGAAAAATTACCAACCCCTCCTCCCAAGATCTTTGCTCTGGATCCATGCCTGCACAGTATACGATATTTAAGAACATATAAATATTATCTTAAGATTTTTAATATATGAAGGTACTTTATTTATAAGGTTACTCACTTGGATATCAGGATGGATAGCCAATAATAAAAGAGAAAAACATAGTGTAATAGCACTGGTTTCACTACCCTGAAATTAAATTAATAATATTAACAAAAAAAAAATTTAACTATACTCATTTATTGATACATACGCCAATCATCATTGTAACCACCTCATCAAGAATATCATTATCAGAAAAGTTCGCACCAGCTTCGTTCAATTCAAATAACGTGTCCAAGAATACTTTTAAATTATTTTCTTTAATAATATTGAATACAACATATTAAATTTATATCATTACAACACCACGACTAATGTTCAAATAACTCACTTTTTTCTTCGGTATTATATATGACACTCGTTTCTTTTATTATTTTCTTTTGTGCAAAAACTTCTTTTTTTTCATTGATCATCTAACAAATTTAAAAATAGACTGTTTATTGAATTTTAGGCCTTTTAGTATTTACACACCTACCTTCAATGGCAGTTTTTTCAAAGTTTTGAAGACATTAGACTGTCCTTGAAGTCTAAGAAATAGAGAAAAAAAAATATTTGGAAACAACCATGGTTTGTAAATCCTTACTGAATCCAATTCTGATGCTCTGAAACATTGATTATTTTATTATTTTATAGTCAAGTTCTTTGAATTTGAGATAAATTAAATTGTTTACTTGATCATAGCTTTTTCGAACTCAGACCCAATATCTGAGTGACTGTCAAGATTGTAACCCATTGCATTTTCTATAAATGATAAAATATGTAGACAAATAGACAATTACTAGCTAATTAAGCCTTCAAAGTTAAAATAGTGTACATTAGACTTACGACATATTAAATTAAGAGTGGTAGGTGCAATGTAGTCCCAGAGGTCAAATGGTTGTGTTTTACCTAATTCTTTTTCTAGATTTTTAATTAGAATCTTGTTTTTCTCATTAAATACAGGAAAAAACTGACTTAGTAGGTTGGCATTAAATATAGGAGTAATAAGTCGACGGTGTTTTCGCCATTTATCAACTGTAATAATAAAACAGAAATTAATAAGTAGGTACAATGAATTGACTCCTGCACATTAACCTTTTTTAGCATACTTATTTAGGTGGTTTTTTTATTTTAAATAAATCTTTCGTATAATTGCAGTATATTAATGGCTGCAATTCGATTACACTCTCCCCCAACCCCCCAAAAAAATAAAAATAAAAGCTTTAAAAATTAATTATTCTTCTTTGGTAGGTATATAATTTTTTTTGAATTACCCTATTATACATTTATCCTAGGGCACAGATACGCAAGAGGAGGGCGTTAATAAATTGTATTTAAAATGAACCTGGCTTATACAAACCTTAAAAAATGGCATTCATAGTAAAAATAATAAGGTAAAAGTATAAATTGAATACTTATCAAACAAAAAGAAAAAATGTTTATTAAGTTATTTTTGTTGTGCCTAATATTGTTTTTTCTTGTTTTTAGATTATTAAAATAATAAAATCCAGTCTCCAATCATAAGATAAATAGTTTAAGTGATTTTTAAATTATAACATTTTATTACCTTATTTGAAAATTCTCGAAATCAATTCGCAAAATTATTGGGGTCATTGTTCAAATCGATTAAATACAATTATTGGAGAGTTGGCCAAAACTTTACAATATATAATCTGACAATATATTGAAAAATAATCAAGTACCTATGGTTAGTAGTTTTAAATTACTTACAACAAGATAAGAAAATCGTTCCATAAGAATTATCCAATGTCTAACTTCGCAATAGCTCATAAAAATTTATTTGACTTTCCGGTAATTATTTTGTTAAATGTACACAACTCACTGAGATTCTTGAATTATATTTTAAAATCATACATAATTTGCAAATATGATTTTGATAATTATGATTTTTAACTTCAGCAGCTCTTAAACATTATTGTGGATTTACACTCAATTGTTTTTTTTCCTCTAACACTAACTTGTGAGAAACCATGTATTAAAATTTACAAGTTTTTTGGTAGAGCGAAAAATTATTACTCTATACTATATAATAATATACTTTAAAAGTCTCCAAGCACTATAATATTTTAAAATTACAACAAAATAACAAAAATTATTATTCTTGGTTTTAATATATAATTTCGTCCTAATTTAAACTTAAAATTTCTGTAAAAAAAAACTAGGTTTATATATTTTTAAGATTTGTTGATTGAAATATGAGCTACTTACTGATAAATCTTGTTTTAAATTGTAAATCTTTAGCTATAGAAATGAACTTTATACATTTTTCAATACAAAATAATTTTCGAATTTTCGGGATGATGAATGTCAAAATTTGAACTTAAATGCTTATAAAAAAAATCATGCATTTGAATTTTTTAATTTTTTAAGTTTCTATTATAATAACTTACGAGGAACTTTGTATTACATTTTCAAGTATCTACGGTCAAACGCTTTAGAATAACAACAAAATAAGAAAATCTTATAGCATCGATATTATTTATATATCGTGTGCAAATAAATATATAAAAACTTCAAAAAGAGTCAAAATATATTAAAAATTGTATGGCAAAATAAAATGCCATAACTAATTATTTAACAGTCATAGAGTTGTCCAAACTTACATTTTAACACAATATCCTAATTACAATTATCAACAATTAAATATCGTAATTAGGTACCTGGTGCAGTTAGCAAGCCTTCTCCAAAAATATTTTTGATAAATTCATAAAACCTGTCCTTTTGTAAAGCTTTTGAATTATTTAACACAATCTGAAATAAATTTGGTTTTATATTTAAATAAGTTTAATAACATATAGTGTTATAATATAATTGATTTATTATAGTTATATTTTGTTAATCTTGTTAATTGTTTTCATTGAATAGATAATATAAAATAATCTATTCAGTCTGTATACTTTTGTAAATGCATAGCAAATGTAATTTTGCTAAAATACATATTTTGTAACTAGTTGATTTTTATTATTAGAAAAATAATTACTTGTACGTCTTCTGGTTTAACAATGTACACCCCAAAAAAAGGACCTAACCATATTTTAAAAGGCTCCGAACCGAAATTTTTGTAGAATCCCAGTAATACATTTATAACCTCTGAAACAACAACAATAAACTAATTGATATACATCAAATATTCAAATAACAATATATAATATGTATTTATTACTTCACTTACGTTCGGGTGTGCCAAGAAGCTCTAGTGCTGAGCCAATAATAGGATATGCCGGAGGACCTTTCAATTTTGCGTCCAATCTATCGATGTGTCTTTTGTTCCATTTGTAGCGGCACCACAAAACGACAACGAAAATAATGGCTGAGTACAGAAGTACCTCAGTTACTGCCAATCTAAATTCACTGACTGACTGCATGACGATTGATCCTGTTTATTCCGATTTAGGTACACTTGAATGAGATACTAACAAATATACTGAAACTTGATGGACACCAACTACATTCTAAAGCACTATAACCTAATATATAAATAAGTCTGATGAAGAGGACGTCAAATGTTGATTTGTAATCTTTAAAATGCAGTGTTTAGAAAGAACGTTTCTTCCAGACAGAACGTGAAAGTGAACAAGGATTATACTTTTAATGCGTTTAAACAATTTTTAAGACATTTGAATTTATTTACCATTTCATAAATAAAATACGTATGAATATTGATTAATACCATATTATTAAAATATTCCTATTATATTTACTTTATTACGAATTGTAAAAATCAATTAGGTGAAATTCAAGTTGTAATGGTTATGTACATGCAGTATATGTAGCTGCGATGATATAGTAGGTATGATTTCCGCGATTTAGTATTAGTGTTTAAACGATTCATAAAAAAAAAAATTTAAAAAATTAAATGGATGCATTTTTTTGAAGAATGTTGACGTGAACGAGTTATTTTTTAAGCACTGAACGTTCCTAATAATTAAATGTTAGGTTAGGCACAAGAGACTTTACTGTTATTTCAATGTTTATATAGTAAATAAACTTTAAATAAAATGCCTTAACATTTTTATAAAACATTTACAACAATAAATATTAATTATTAATTAACCAATGTGAAGTATTATAATTACAATACTTGTCAAGCTCAATGGAAAGGACCTGGGAACATTTATTAGGTAAGGTTAGGTTATAAGTTATAGGCTTTATACATTTATATTTGTAATTTTTTTTAAATATAATCAGTTTAGTTCAAAGTCGTACACGAAAATGAATTTCGGGGGGTGCCTGTAATATGGTTGGGCCCTTCCTTAACAAGACATGTACATGTATATTAACCACGAATTTTAGAAAAAACCTTGTTTGATTATAATAACATCAATTAAAATACGGGCCCTATGCTCTGGAACTTAAACTGAGAGGCCCAATCACGAAATGTCGGTAGGAGGTTCTCAGGCACACCTGGCACCTCCCGTGAGAAATCCTATAGGTTAGTTAAGTTCTATAGGAAACAAGGGTCCCAAAATTTTATCTGCATATAGGCCCCAAATCTGTGGCACTAGTTAAAGCCTATAGGTAAGTAAAAAAATATCCAAGTAGGTAGTAGATGTGGACGTAATGTTCATGCAGTGCAAAAATTATAAATCACCGTATGTACGTTAATTTAAAATTAAATTTGTGGAATATTTTATTATTTAATTTTAATTTAAAGTTATTTAAAATAATGAAATTATTTTTTATATTATTTACCTTTATCGGTTTTCGAATAGTGTTATCAGCGCATCTCTCAACAACTGAATGCAATTATAATAACAAAAAGGGTTTGTATAATTTTAAATAATCCCCTCTTTGGCTGCTAGTTACACATATCATTGGATTTTAATCATACCTGTGCGTACTTAATATTTGTTTACAATTTAATTTCAAAACTAAAACAGGTTTTTATTCAATATTTACGAATTTGAATTTAAATCCCAACCACCTTGAACATAATATAATTATAAAAAAAGCATTGTCGATAAATATTAAGTCTGAAATTTTGAAGAATACGGATTCGGTAAGGAAACACATGTACATATAAATATTTAGTATTTAGATGCATATTTTTTAGAATGATTTTTCTATACAATTATATATTAACAAATTTAAGTATATAATTATTTGTGTCAATGTTCAACTTTTATGTAATTAACTTATAAATTAGTCCACAATTATAAGCACGCAAATAAGGTATAGCACAACATGCATACTTTTAATAATTTGTGGGTCTTAACATTATAAGGCTACCGATTCGCCTGATCACCAAGGTGTCGTACGTATTCGTTGTGTGTTACAACTATAAAATGGCAGATATGGAGATTGAAATATACACATAAGACTGTCCGTAGATGGGTAAACAACCGATTTAATTAATTAAATTATTATAAAACATCATCATTGAATGATTCTACATAGTAAATGTATGCATTTTTATCAACTAATTCATATTTAATTGTCACATTTTCGGGTGAATTAAGTGGGTGAATGTAAGTTCCCACACAATACAACCTGCGGTAAAATCCACCAATATAAAATTCACTAATATGGAAGTTCCTAGGTGAATACAGAAAACTTTTAAAAAAACAGAGAACTCCCTTTGTTGTATATTATAGTGCGTACCTATACATTGTTGTTGAATGGGTCTATACTCTATAGGGTCATTATAAATCCGACCTAGGACAAATTGCCTTAGCCGTTTGGACGGGCGGCCCCCTTTTCGGCCAAAACTAACCGTTCCCTTTTTGGCCGGTTTTCTTTTAACGGCAACGAAGAAATGAAGCTTACATTGAAGACTATAAAAATAAATAGTAAAATATGTCATTACAAATTTGTAAAACAAATATCATACAATTATAAAAAGTGAATTTTGATATCATAATTATTATTACATAATTGTGACATTTTACAATAAATATTATATAGGTATTATAAGACTATATTAATTCTTTTTCTACTAATGTAATTGGAAATCATAATATTTTCAATGTTGACATATTCATGAATTATTGAATTCATATTTTTATATTATATAATTATTATTACATAGGTATTATAAGACTATATTAATTTTTATAAATTTTCGTTCGACGTTCATACTTCATACAATTATTAAAATATTGTTTTAAATTAAATGTATTGATATGATAACAATAATAATAAAATGTTATAACAGTTTATTGCCAATTGTTTTATTTTTATTTAATTAAATATAAAAATTGTTAAGTTCAGTTGTTATAATTGTACATTTTAAAGAAAACTGGCCAAAAGGGACAGTGGCCGAAAAGGGAAGGGTACATTTTAGTCAAAAACGGTGACGCCCGTTTGGACGTATCCGTTTGGACGCGGAGACAATTAAACGTCAAAAAAATATATGAATCAGTTTATAAAATTTGTAATTTATTTTTATTTATTTTAATACGTCAACAAATAATAATTAATATAAAATATTTAAATGTACAAATTATTTATTGTATAAAATATTAAAATTAAAATTATATCTAAAATATTTTTTTTATTTTAATAGGCACACCAACAATTAAAATACAATATCAAAAATATTATTTATACTAATTATATTTTTTATTAGCTGAAGCTGAAGTAAGAGACAATCCCAGGGTAGTCGCTCCAAACGACTAAGCAATCTCAGGGCAAACGTCAGAACGGGAACCCAGCCCCCCCCCTCCCCCGTACATGCGACCACGGGCCGAGAATAGGAACAACTACCAAGATACCGTGATCTATTTGTGTACTTTGAAAGATGATTAAAAGCTATCGGCAATCGATATTCGATAGATGTTACTTATGTGTATTATGTATTTGTATGTTATATATTGTGTGTATTTATAGATTTATTCGGCCATAAACGATGGCAGCAAAGGAGTGGTATTGTTAAAACAGAGCCTCTTCCGATGTCGGTGTTAAACAGGGAAAACATTTATATTTATTAAAGTAAGTCCAAAATATATATAAAATATCTAAAAAGTTTTTAATTTAAAAATTAGTTACTTATATTAATTATATTGCCTATCTTATGTTATAATATTTAAAAATGAACAACATTTTATTTTAATGCAGAGAAGTATTTTAAGCCCTTCTGTGTAAAAATTATATTTTAGTTCTAGGTTCATAACTTTGCAGAACAATTCTTAAAATACGTTTATCTGCATAAATACATTTCTTTAATTTTTTTGTTGGAGGGGGGGGAGACTCTAACCTGCTTGAAGTTGGTTGTAAAATACATCTCGCTCAGCCTGTACTTATCGTAAACAGTTGATGAAAGACCACAAACTAGGATGTTGAACTCCCATTTCTATTAGCTGCTTCGGGATGTGGTTGTTAGTCCTATCTTGACCACTCAAAACTCGTAGGTGTAAATTGTCCTCAAACCAGTCAAGTAAAGGTTGTAAGAATTCTGGTAAGTCATCTCCTAATTGTTGTGTAGCGGCATCTAGATCTTCGATTGGAATAAATGGAAGAGCTACGACCATTTTTATAAATATTGAAAGATCAGCATAATTTGTATTTGTATACCTACCTTGAAGAGTTGAAGCAAAATCCATTTCGTAAGTTTTGTTAAGTTTGGTATTAACTACTGATAATTCAAAATCACTTGACACTGGTCTTAGATGTAAACCGGGTTTTAATAAATTTAACATGTCAAATAATTTCTCGTACGTTTTTCCTGTTTATTCAGCCAACAGTGCATAAATTAATGGATTTAGTGCTTCCACAAGAATAACGTAAACTTGTGCAGAAATTGTGGTGCTATACTTTAAATGTCCCATTGCAATGCCAAACTTTTGAAGAATGTAATATTTCTTAACTCCTATGTCTTCCAAAAACTTAAAATTCTACTTTCACAAAGTCCACTATCATCTAATAAATAATTTTCCGATATGTATTCGGGCGGTGAGTAAACTTTATATGTATCCGATATCTGTAGTGTACTAGTGCCATAAAATTATTCTATGCATTTGGTGCTGCGTGTATTCCATTTCATTTTTTTTAATGCTGGACAGCGTTGAAGGGCTCCCTACAAAGTTATAAAATTAAACTCAAAAACTAAAATTAAAAATAAAATAGGTAGTATCTAATAAGTACCTTAGATGCTTGTGATAATCCAGGAATGCATTAATATATTTCTGAAAGCGTTGGTTTCATATAGTTTCTCTAGCACGTTTTTCAATATTGCGCACTGCTATATTTGCTTCAACTTTAACATTAGACTTTGTTTATGAATACATAATATCAATGGTTTTATAATTCATAAATACCTATAAATAAACCAGAACTATTAATTATTCTTAATATATTTTGATGATGATCTATTAAAATATTATTTATTTTATTTATATATTTTTTAAGTCCAATTGTCCCTACATCCAAACGGCTACGTCTATTTGTCCCTATTCGTTATAAATCATAGAATTTTAGGGGGTTGAGACCTAAAAATTGACTCCTCTCCCCCCCCCACGTGTACCACTGATACATGTACGATGATTTCGTCAAATATTATTTTCTTAATGAATCAAATTTTTTAAACGAATGACCAAAATAGAAACTTTTTTATAAAATGAAAACATTACTGTGAGCTATAGAGCAGAGGTCGCCAACCAGTCGATCGTTAAGGGAATATTAGTAGATCCTATATTAAAGATTAATTATCCCAATATTAGTCGATCAAGTTCGTAGTTTTCACAATTTTACGCATTAAATACAAATTAAAGTATTTATTAGCGATGAAAAACGGTCAATTTTCTTATGGATAAATAATAAAAGAAGAATATTATTAGGTATACAATGTATTCTGCTCTACTGCAAGCCTGCATGCAAATATATAATACTTAAATACTCTACCTACTTTAATAAATATATAGTGGTCGATCACCAGATGCTTAAAATTTAAATATTTAGCTCATTTGTTGGCGGCTCCTGTTATAAAGTATTGAAGCAAACCTAAAAGAATAAAAATGTTAGCCAACGATTCGAAACATTTTGATAAGTATATTATTATCACCTACTATATTGTGATTTGTGACTTCTATCATGTAGACATGTAGTATGTGGTTATTACTTATTATGCACAGATGTCTATCTCTACATTAATCACGAATTAAATTCTTTTATTTTGAGGTTCACGCAATCGCAATTATTGTTTTACAATATGTCAATACAGAATAAATATAATCATAAAATTGTTTTTTTGTACTCCACAAAATGTATCCCACTGTACACTAAAAAAACCTTGATAATAACTAATAGTATTATAGGCATTAGGCAAATCAATGAACGGTCTCTTCGCTCAGAGGGTAAAATTGTTTTTCCGTTTTCTTATGAAATGATTTTATATCATTGAATCCAATCCTTTATGAACACCTATAGTAAACAGTACAGCAGACCTCCTTCTCCGGTTTTTTTTAATTTATAGTAATTGAATTTGTATGTAATTATATAAACATATAAGATTTTATTTTCAGCTTACTTATTAAAAAGTCGATTCCTAGAACGGAAAGAGACTGTTGGACATTGGTAGATGACATTTTAGATCCTTAACATATTTTGGAAAATATATAAACAAAAACAGTAAAACTAAAATTGTTTAAATGATCAACGAAAAAAAAAATTAAAACTCTTTATAAATGCCGATTAAAATTAATATATCTATGGTGAAAGACCGCGCTTAATTTATATAATATATAATTATGAGTTATGACAATATTACTATTATTATCATATATTTTATTATGTACCTTAAAATTTTAGATATTATGGATAGTAATATAGAGGATTAGAGTTGTATTATTTTTTACAATTTGAAGATTTACCATATTGTGCTTCTAGCTTCTCATTATCTTATCAAATGTTGTTATTGTATATTACCTATATAGATTATAGAATTAAATTTTTATAAATAACATTTTTTAATTAATTATTTTTAAAAAATCGATTGTGTTTTGTTCTGCTGAAGCAGCACTTATAGGTAGTGAACAAATAATACTACGTATATAATTAATATTTGGAAACACTGATTCCAGACATGAAAATAGGTTCTAACCCATTATTTGAAACACATTCCCCTGAAAAAATGAAGCATAATAAATAAATAACATAAATGATATTAAAATGTTTGTCCTAACAGATTTCTTTAGCAACTAAATATAAAAACTTTAAATATGTATATTTACCATCAGTTTCATGTCTCTTCCACTTAGTAAACCATAAATCTAAATAATTTTGTATGATACGTTATGATGAACCTTGAAAATAATTAATTTCAAAAATTGTTGACAAATAACTATGCAAATCTTCATTTTTTTTTATTTTTATAAGATAACTTGGTGTAAGGTGCATTAATAACACAATATTTGTATTTTCCTTGCTTAAAAATCGAAAATTTAAGTCTTCTAATATAAAATATAAAATAAAGAAATATATAAATATTAAATAAGTGAAAGTGTCTGGTATCTACGTTAATTTTTAACAAAAAACAAAGATTTAGTCAAAAAGTATTATTTTTACTAGAAAGTTATCGCGTACAGATGCAAAAAAAAAAAATAATAAAAAAAAAATACCCATCATTATGAAATCAATAAATTTATCGCTCCGCTCAGAATCTAAAATGGTTTTACACAAATATAAATTATGTCTATTAGTTTATGTAATATTAGTAGTAGTATTAACTATAGTTTATAATTGGATCATTTTTACCAATTATTTATATTGATAGACCAATAGTTAGTATAATTATATACCTATATTACATTTATAATTTACAATTTAATTTAAAAATATAATATTGAATATATTTTAGATTCTGAGAGGAGCGATAAATGTATTGATTTTACAATGATGTGTGTTTTTATATTTATTTTTTTTGTGTTTGTGTGTCTGTCATCGCAGTTTCAGGCAGTAAATCGTAAATGTGCTTCGATTTTCTTCAACAGCAACTATTCTGGTAGGAAAGTTGGTGCATTCGGGAGGTCAAAACTTCAAATTCCCAATAATTTTCAAACGCAACAGGAAAAACAAACAAACATTTAAGGAAAAACTGGAATTTTTAAGCAAAACTGCTTTGGTTATTAATGTAAGTCTGAAAAAAATGACCGTAGGTACATGAGATTCATACTGAATATTTAAGTTGGCATTACACACCATAAAATATTAAAAATATTTTGACTCGTGTGGAACTATTTATAGAATATAGGCATTAGACATTTTCGATTATAATTTTTTTTTTAAACTGATGTCGATTAAAAATTTTTCAGGCAAAAAACTTGTAAATGTAATACAAGGTTCTTCGTAAGTTGTTGTTAATGGAAATTAAAAAAAAAGTTGAGCGTAAATCCATAAGGTTAGAAATTCATAAAAAAATTTTTTATATCTTAGATTTAAAAATTGAATACAAGATATATTATAAGTCTGTCTACCTTTATCAAAAAAAAATTCTACCTGAAAGTCAAATTAAATTTTTACAACATTGGATATTCACTCGATTTCTCTTGTAGCGATTTTATTATTTTGTTGTAATTCAAAAACGAATAACTGTAGACACTTGAAATTTACACAAAATGTTTATTTCATAAATTCATATACTTGAGAAAATTTTCAAAATATTTTGACTCGTTTTAAGCTGTTGACGGAAATTTTCAAATTTCATTTTTTTTCTATTAATGACAATAACATTTTATTGGTTGGGTCAAAAAGCATGAAAATGTATTACAAGACTCTTGATAACTTGATACAATAGCAGTTGAAAAATATTAAAAATACATGGCACAATTTTTTTTTTATACCTACGTATTTTAAGTTCAAATGTTGACAATATTGAAAATTGAAAATGATTTTGTAGTCAAAAATGAATGAAATTTTCGTTTTTTTTAGCTAAGAATTTAAAATTTAAAACAAGTTTCCGCTTAAGCAGTTTTTTCCATATCTAAGAAACCTAAAAAAATATATAAATACAGTTATTATTTACAGACATTTTAAGTTCAAATTTGGACAAAATTGTATATTAACACTAAAAATTACTTTATCATTTTGTTGTAATTCGGTTCAAAAACAGACAAAGATATATTTTATATTTTTCCAGCATCACTGATAATTTAAGAATACCTAATATTAATTTAACTTACCGGCTACCATAGTAATAATAAGAAATAACAGTATAAAATATCCTAGACTTATACCTACCGTCTCCACTCAAAATCGTTTTTCGTATACAATGATACATCATTGAATTCAATTTTAATACCATCCATTACAGTGACATTCTAGATAACTAATGTACAGCAGAGCGACATCCATTTACACGCTTTTTTTCTTTTATTCATCCATATATATTATTTTTTACACAGTATAAATTAATATTAAATTATATACGATTAACTTCAATATTCGATAACGACTACTAATTGGCAACGTATACACAAAAATAAAATATTTTAATTAAAATTATTTACATATCACTATATCAGTGTAAATTGAAACTCGAAATGAACGAAAAATGTTGTTACTTTTTCTTGGAAAAAGAACGAGTTTATTTTTTATAAAAAGGAATTCGTTCCGGGAATCCGTTCTTACTTCTTTTTAGAACTCGTTCCTTCCAAATACTGATAGTCCAGCACCTTTTCTAGTAATAAAGACTAAAAGAGTAGTTTTAGTACTCGTATCATTTTACATTGATCACATATGCTGAGGGACGCCAATTGGCGTCATGTGCCTTATTATTAAATGCACTACAATTTGGTCAGGGTTACGATCACAATTTTCGTTTCTTTTGGAGGCTCCTTTAATCATTATTTCATACACACATGCAAATCGTACAACGATATTATATCTTTTACGGCGACGCGATACATTTTGTTGAAAAACGAGCATTTGAGGTTTGCAAGCTAGTTGCGTCGTGATCGCCGAATAATGATTACATCCGATACGATGTCTATAATTCACGGGTGCACAAAAAAATAAAAAACCAGTTTTGCTGCCTTGCTGAATGTTTGATAACATGTACCGGGAAAAATGGTAAGGTGAATAACGATACAACAGCGTATTTAAAAACCCGATGATGATAGTAATTAATATTTAGTAATAATTAGTAATAATATACCTTCAGTAGAACAGTAACATAACAAATTAAATATTTATATCAGTTTTTTTCGATGTTATTACGTATTTTAATATAGGCCATAGCTAGAAGGTATTCTGTATAGTTCAACACGTACATAGGTAGACGGTAGTATTTGTATATCATTGCCATAGTACAGTTTCTTCATTTGCATAACTTTGTATATCTCTTACCGGAATTTCCTTAGTACCTATATACAATTATCTTCATTATCAAATAAAATAGTCTTATTGTTAATTGGAGTTCGGTAAACCGAATCAAATGATAAAAATTGGGCATATACTGAATACTGATATACTTCGCTGTGCTGTAGCAGTTGAGTGTATTTCATTACCGAGTAGGTCTCTGTAAGTTACAAACAACTTTTGCACAGCTTTATTTTAACGGATTTTGAATTTTCTTCATCATCAAAATTTTCATTATCTCCACATAATGTCATATTATATTCGTAATTCACTGATTTCTTAATATTTCCAGGAGCTAGCAAAATGAAATAATTCTTCACATAAACTGCTTTTAATATTTCAATATCAATAGTTTTGAAGGCAATGTATCTATAGATAATTCAACATTCGACATTCCATTTTGAAATGTTTCAAAATTGTTTTCGATAAAAGAGATGGATCAAAGTACAATGCATTATTTATCATAAATCTTGTAGTTTTAAATACCTAATATACCTTTGTACAATAAACATTTTAAATTGGAAAATTTTAAATATTGAAAAAAAAATAATAAATATATAAAGTATTATAATATGTTTATATTATAATATTTATTATAATGTTGTTCCGTTATTTATGGGATGATATTTATGGCACGAACTTAATGTTACAATAAATTCATCATTGAGATTTATATTGAAAAACCCATATAGTTATCATGTAGTGGATTTATTTATTGATTTAAATATCAAAAATATTAATGCTTATAAACCTAAACATATGACTATCACACAATTTCAAAGCATGGACGATTAAATCTTGATTTCTTAAATCTCTTATATAATATTTAATTTTGCATTTTGCATCTATGTTTAGAATTATTTTAAATTATGTTTAATTTATATTGTACAACTGTTTTTTAACTCGCTGCTCCCTTTCATAAACTTGCTTTTTCGGACAGCTTCATCAAAGTACCTCCTATTCGTTTATGTTTTGAAATTTATTTTCATTGAATATTGTATACTTTCAAATTGTACCTACTTCGTAGTTGAAGATGATTCAATAAATATTATTATTATTAAAAAAATTAATAATTATCTAATTATCTCCCCTTTTTTGTAGATATTTTGTGCCACACCTATACTGGGTCCATGTCACCCCAGTTAAGAACGGGAAGGACTCTTTTCACCCATGTCGCTTTTAAGTTTTAACTCATATTTACGAGTAACCAATGCCAACTATTTACATACATCAATTACGAATAGGCGAATAGGTAAATAATTTATACACATTTCTACTGTTATAATTTTAATTTGTAACAATTTCTGAACAAAATAAAAATTTTGTTGAGCACCTCTAAACGTGAAATTCGAAAAATCCTTTCCTAGTGCACCCTTACATGAGCGATGATGCCACGAAAGTACCATGAAAATTTCAAATCTCGAGCTATCATAGTTTACACGTTGATCAGTCAGACAGAACACGTTCGATTATATATACATGCATGTATAATACCAATTATTATAATTTATAAATATTAGTATTTAGGAAGATGCTACCCACGCGTTTGTTGTCTCCGTCTTACCAATTTACGACATAGCAAATTTTCGTTCACTAGTTTGAATAGTGTACCGATAATTTTGATATAAAAGTGAATTTAAATATTATAAAACTCTTAGGTAAGAACATTATCTATGCTTAAGCGTCAGCGGATTTGGGATATTTTTATTTTTAAGCAAGATACGAGTATCTGAAATAACACAAATCAAAAATTCTCATATCTCGCTTGAAAATTAAGATATCCAAAAATCCGCCGTTGCTTGAGCATAGATAATTTTCTTACCTATAACTTTGATAATAGATCAATTCACTCTAATATCAAAACTAACAGCACACTATTGAAATTAGTGAACGAAAATGTTCTATGTCGTACGTGTGTGAGACGGAGACAACAAGTGCAAGGGTAGCGTAGTTAATGTATTTAAATATATTAAGTACCTATATAAATATGAAAAATGAAAAATATATTATTTTTATTTTTCACATCATTTTATAAAATAAAAAGAACAAGATTTTTCAAAAAAAGAATTTTTTATACTTAGTATTTTTAAATATTAAATTAAATATATATTTTTCTTAAGGGGATTGGATACCAACTGTATTTAAGGAGTTTAATACAGGAAATTTAAATTTACATTCGAGCCATGTAAATGTGTGTGCGTAGTAAGTGATCACTTTATACACGTACACTAATTACAAATGTATTTATTTTGTAACTTTTCGTAATCAAGTAATATATATTGAATCTTTTTAAATTGTTCTTTTTTTCTGTGTTCTTTGTTTCTTTGATCTTTTTTCCGAGATTTGTAGTACTGGTATAATATATTAATATCCTATGGATTATGATCTCGGAGTTATTCTGTTCGATAAATTTATAAATGTCTTTTTGTATTATAACATAATTGCCAGAAACATAAAGGTACAATAAGTATTTATTCGTCAATAATTATTGCAGATAATTTTTTCGGAAAAAAGCATTTTATTTATTAGTAAATAGAGTTTAATAAAAGATAGATCATAATAGAATTTTAAATAAAATAATACATTTTAGGTAGGTACCTAAATATTTCAAAATGATTTAATTAAAATGCAAAAAATAAAACTAAATAAAACTTATGGCAATCAATGGTAGGAATATTTGAATATTCGTAATCGTTATTATAAACTACCAACATATTTTGTAAGTATCATCATAGTTAATTATTTTGAAATATTCCTTAAAACGAAAAGTTTAAAAATATTTTGTAAACAAAAGACATTTTGTGGGCTTTGGGAGGGCAATAAGTAATAACACAAAAATTGCAAATTCATGCATGATCACCTGGAATAATAATATGTTGTTCACTATTAGCATTATCGTAAAAACATGCAAATCATGCATAATGAAAGATTTTGCTAAACATAATTTTGAGGGTCAACTTGCGACTCGTCAAAAACTGCATCCTCTTGTTGAAAAATAACAATCTCTGGATCTGGTTTCACACTACCGCCAACTCCATTAAACCTGTTAACTTGGGGATTTAAATATCCCGCAGTTGCGTATGAAACCATATCCATATATTTTTATGCTGTAAGTAATCCAATATCATACTGATGTGTTGAATTTTTAGTTATTGTAGACTGAAGGAGATACTTTGCTTTTAAATTTCTTGTCAATTAAAAATTATTGAGTAGTTTCTGGGTTGTTATATCCTTATGTGGTAGGTAGTTCTAAAAAATATTCAATAAGTGAACTGAAAAATCACACTATAGTATACATTGGAAATTAATTAAATGCTTATTGTGTAAATTGAATAACAATCATGATACACAAAAAAGAAAAAAAATTAAAATGTAAATTAAATAACGAAGCCTAATATACCTATAATATGTTAAACCATTAAGTTGAGTTTGTATTTATTTAACGTTAGAGACAAATAAAATTATGGATCGACAGCGAAAAAATGACAACAATATAAAGCAGGAAAATTAATCGGTATGATTTTATTAAATCAATGTCATTTAACTATTCTATTTAATACTACAATACTAACAAATAATAATGTTTTGACGATTTATATGTTTGGTAAAAACTTACACTATATAAAAATTATATTAATGTACAGGAACACAATACATTTTTGGAGAGTAATAGAAGCCGCCTCCTCGTGGTACTCTCTGCGTAATGCTAAACGGCTTTATAAAACTAATTTACACAAAAAAATAATTTAATGTAAGTGTTACACAAAGTGTACATTATAAAAATGTGGTTGAAAAGTACTATATAATATTATTAAGCAAAAAGGGAAAGTAGATTTAAAATATTTGGGCCAAAAAGAAAGGTCATTTTTGGGCGAACAGGGTGCTGCCCATATAAACAGCTTATAAGAAACATTGTGATTAATTTTCAAACTCTTTCACCGAGCGAAAAAATTACTTTTGACATTTAAAGAAGGAAAACCTAAAAAACATCGATAAATAGCTTAAATAAGCATCCCTTTCTTCAGCTGCTTCCGTCCGTGGTCGAATCTGGTCCGTTATCAGTTTTCCACGGGTCGTAATATTTCCCATTGGCAACTTACCGGTAGGGTTCTCCTAGAATCTAGGACATATACATGGGCGCCCATTGGGGGGAGGACAGGGCACTTGCCCCCCCCCCCTTGGAAATAAATATTATGAACTTGTAGCTCAATAAATATTACCACAATATTACCTTATTGCCGAAATTCTTTATTTTGCCCCCCCCCCCTAAAATGTTACCTTTGGGCGACCATGAGGACATAGATAGTTGTTCCAACTATTCAATAATCAATAATCTCCTATGGTAAAATAGGTTGGAGTGGTGCATTTTTAATGCTATATCTCAATTAGAAATATGCCAAAATCAAATAATTAAAATAGGTACTCCTCAATAAAGAACAAATGTCCTCTATAAAAAATGTAACAAGAACTAAGCATGCTACCTGTTAAAAAAATCTACGAGAAAATTACTACTATGTATTTAAAAACCCACGGTTTATTACAACCAATAGATATTACACAGAGTAAACACAAGATACGCACAAAACAATTTCATAATAAATAGATAAAAAAAACATCTACAGATGCTACCATGGTAGACATCATAAAATAATTGGAACCGAACTAAGTAACAAAGTATGTACCATAATCTCATATAATAAACCTACCCATCAATTTATTCAAAAAAATATTTTGCAATGATGATAATTAATAATATTATAAAAACAACATTGTACTCGTATTCATTTACCTCTATCAACGCAAAATTATTTAATTTTAATTATGTATAGGTACCTACACAACAGAAATATTATTTTTAATTATTTGTTTGTTTTTTTCTCAACTATCCCAACATGGAAACTACGTACTAAACGTGGAAACAGTAATAAAAAGTATAAAATNCAGAGCCGCCGAAAGTTGGTTTTGCCTATGACATATGTAATAGGTAAATTATTGGGTGGGTGGGTGGGTGGGTGGCTATAATGTAAAGACAAAATAATATAGGGACGAGGGCCTCAGTTTTACTGATTAAATTATACCATTCACGGTCATATCTATATGGCTGTGATATCATTATTCATTATCCGCCACAATATTAAATTGTGTTGTCAACACAGATATATATATTAAATATTAATATATATATCTGTGGTTGTCAATGTTTGTATCTTATCTGTTATCTGTGGTTTGGCTATTATGGTCAACGGGTTTAAGTAGTTTAACCATGTTAATGTTACGAAAATATTAGAAACGAGTGGATATTTTTGTACGAAAATAGAATTATCAATATGAATAATGAATATTACTATTCTTTGTGTGGAAACGTCAAATTAAGCCGGGTGGTGGGGCGCTGCACGAGCAAGGTCGATCTTATTAGGTAATAGCATTGATTTTAAAATATACTTATATTTTAAAATCAATGGTAATAGGTATTCTAGTATTTATGTCGACTCGTTCAAAGGCTAAAATCCACAATACTGTGTTTACTGTTTATTGTTTTGTTTTTGAATTTGAGTGTTGTACCGTTGTTCTAAACATATTATAATTATATATAAATTTAAAAATGAACTGTGATTTATGTGGAAAATTAAAAGCGAAATTAAACGATGCCAATTGGGCACGCCACATTGAAGCTTGTAAAAACAAAAAAAGAAAGTTAAAGCGTTTTCAAGACATTGCAAGTTTTTTTTCTCCAAACAGAGGTGCGTATTTATTTATTACAATATTTAAATCTTGTAAGTTTGACAGTTAAGTATGCAAAAGCTATATAGCATAATATAGGTAGGTATTTATGTTGTGCTTATTATTTTATTTAGATTAACTAAATACCTACATTTTTATTTTTATTTTATAATAATAATAATAACCTGTTCGGAGCAGGAGTTTAAAATGGAGTGAAGATTGAAAGGAATATTCATGGAATTAAGTGAAGTAACTAGGTTCTGACGCTTAATGGAAAGTGAGGGACAGTCGAAAAGAATATGGGACAAATCGCAAATATGTTCTTCCATATGTAGAGTGCAAAAAGAGGAATCGTTTAAATTTAGCTTATAGGCGTATGAGGGTAATATATGATCTAGGCAGCAATACATTATTGAACCAAAAATTATGATGTTAATTCGTACAATAAAAAAATTACAAAATAATACCTGTTAAATGTATTAATTATTTGTTATTTTATTTATTTACAATCTTTTTATTAGAATAATATTCATATATTTAATTAATTTAATTAAGTAGGTATGTCTTAAATTTAATTTTTAATAAAGGTTAAGTAATTAATTCTTTTAATTTATTATTAAAGAACAAGACTTTTCTGCTTTATCAGGTATAACTTGGGCATTTGGATATGTAAACACTTAATTGGTATTTAATAGATTTTTTATTGAATATTATGTATGAATTTTTCAAATTAAAATTACATACCTATAATTGTATAGAATCTGTGATAACTTATAGCAGTAAAAAGTAAATATAATTCAAGGGAAAAACCTACTTTTTTTAAAGAATTATGCATATTAATTTTTTTAACAGAGACAAAAAATACTGTTGATTGTGTTGAAACTAGTACTCTAGAACCTCGTCCAGTTGTTAAAGGTAAATATAATGAAAGGCAAAAATTTACTTTTTTCAAATAATAATGCATATTTATATTTTTAACAGAGACAGAAAATACTGTTGATTGTGTTGAAACTAGTACTCTAGAATCTCGTACAGTTGTTAAAGGTAAATATAATGAAAGGCAAAAATTTACTTTTTTCAAATAATAATGCATATTTATATTTTTAACAGAGACAGAAAATACTGTTGATTGTGTTGAAACTAGTACTCTAGAATCTCGTACAGTTGTTAAAGGTAAATATAATGAAAGGCAAAAATTTACTTTTTTCAAATAATAATGCATATTTATATTTTTAACAGAGACAGAAAATACTGTTGATTGTGTTGAAACTAGTACTCTAGAATCTCGTACAGTTGTAGAAGGTATGTATAGTTAATAAATTAGTTTAAATTATGAATAGTAGATAAATATTATGTTAAGTCAAAAGTTGATATATAAACTTAATGTTTTCTTTTTATTAGTTGAGTATAATATTATGAGTAAGTTTGTAACCAGTGACTACTTGATTATAATTTTTTTTTAAAAGGATGTTTTATTCTAGATTAAAAATATATCATATTTTCATATCATCACTTTACATATTGTGTTCTATTAGTTATTTTTTTTTTATTAGTTCTGCTTTTGTTTTTATAATTTTCATGTTTTATTGACTTGTTAATATTTAGTATTTATATAAAAAGTGATAATATATATTAAATATAACAAATTTTGTTTATACAGATAACATATGTAAATGGAAGAATGATCCATGTCTTTTCATCAACAAACATTTAAGTCCTGAAGAAAAACGATTGATTTCTGAACTTGGACCGTGTCAACCATTAGCAGATGAATTATTTGGTTATCAATTTCCAAATAATATCAATGGGAGGCATTTTAATGAACAGTGGTATTTCAGAGTGCTACCTGACGGCAAAAAAATTGTTAGAGATTGGTTATCTTACTCGCCGAAATTAAATAAGGCCTTCTGCTTGCCTTGTATACTTTTTGGTTCAGATAAAAATATTTCGTCAAGAATGTCCTGGGCAGTAAATGGTTATGATTGTTGGCAAAATGGTCGCAATAATATTAGTGCTCATGAATTAACTACATCACATATCAATTCATCTGTCGTATTAAAAATTCAAAAAATTACTTTACCAATTTTACCATCTTTAGAGTATGGCAGAAGATTGGAAATAGCAACTAACCAAAAAATTGTTTCGGAACTTATTAATATTGTTATTTTTTTAGCACAACACAATATTGCATTTCGTGGAAACAAAGAAAATTGGTCATCTAACATTAAAGGAAACTTCAAAGATCTAGTTATTCTTATGGCATCTCTATCTCCTATTTTGTCATCTCATCTGTCTCTAGTCAAGTCTAAAGGTAAAAAAGCAACTTCCTTTATTACTTGGGAACGCCAAAATCAATTGATTGACTGTATTAGTCAATCTATTAAATGCACCATAAATAAAGGAATATCTGAAGCATCATTTTTCAGTATTTCTATTGATTCGACGTTTGATGCATCTCGAACCGAACAAATTTCTTTTATAGCAAGGTATGTAAATAGTACTGGTGATATTTTTGAAAGACTGCTTGCCCTCAAATCATCTGCGATTACAACAGGAGAAGTTCTGTTTAATATCTTTAAGAGTGTCATGGAAGAAAATAATCTCCAATGGAAAACTGCATTAGTGGGTCAGTCATACGATGGAGCTGGAAATATGTCAGGTGAACATAAAGGTTTGCAGTCTCGAATCAAATTGGAAAATGACCACGCTTTGTTCATATGGTGCCATGCACATCGATTAAACTTAGTTGTGACATCTATAATTTCAAAAGGCAAAGATGGTATAGATATGTTTGGTAACCTTGAAAGTTTATATGCTTTTTTATGGACAAGTAAAAAACGAGTTGATATTTTTCGACAAAAACAGTATAAATTATATCCAAAGAAACAGCTTCAATCTGTGAAACGTGTTGCAACAACAAGGTGGATGTCACATTCGGTTGCTTTGAAAACAATAATATCTAAGTTTGAAGCATTAATTCAAACCTTAGAAGAAATAATTGAAAAAGAAGGTCCATCAGATGTGAAGGCTGCAGCAACTGCTAATGGTTTGATTAGGTATTTTTTGTCTTTTCGATTTATTTTAACAGCATTTTGTTTTAAAATATTATTTGATATTCTTGATCCACTCAATAAAGCATTTCAAGAATCAGATATCGATTTGTTGACAGCAACAGATCTGATTTTCTCTGCTCGCTATGATCTTAAAAAATCTAGGAATGATAATGTATTTCAAAACACTGTAAATAATGCTAAAGATTTTATTAATGCATCTGATAGAGAATTTGAAGAACTTAAACAGATGAGACCCATTAAAGTACCTAGAAAACATGATCAAAATGTAATATGTTCAGATAATGCTATTGTAGATCCGTTATTTAAAATGAAAGTTGAGACATTTAACGTTATATTAGACACAACTCTGTCAACTTTAGAAAGTCGATTTAATGATGAACATATTGGTATTTTGAGGGATATTTCATTATTTTCAAAGAAAAGAATTGATGAAATAAATATTAATGTTAACAAGTTTCCAATAGACAGTTTTAGTGTATTTTGTTCAACTTATACAATTATTTCACAGGAAGATCTGAAAACAGAATATTTACAGTTTGTTAAAATTTTTAAAATGTTAAATAATAATATTGAATTGCCTCATGAATTACATCAAACACACAATTTTGATGAAGATGATAAATTAACATCATCGTCAAGTGATGAAGAAGAAGAACTATTACCTACAAAAAGTAAACGGGAAATGCAAAATGCTGGTAGTATAAATCATGTTTTTAAAGTTTTTTGTACAGCAAACATGAGTACAGTTTTTCCAAATCTTTACATTGCGTTGAAAATAACTGTAACATTGCCAGTTAGTAGCGCAAGTACAGAAAGGTCATTTTCACGTTTGAAATTACTTAAAACCAGACTGAGAACTAGTACATCTCAAAACCGATTGGAAAACCTTTTAATAATATCTTGTGAAAATGATATTGAAGTTGACAAAGATGAAGTGGTTAAAAAATTTGCAGCTAAAAGTAAAGTTCTAACTAAACTGCTTACAATGTAGTTTTGTTTTTAAATATAATGGTTTTATATATTTTTAATTGCTGAAAAAATTATTAGTTTTTGTTTTTTATTACTATTTATTTTGTAACTTAAATTAGGTAAGTTAATAATATTATATTATTTGCATCAATTACACATTATATTCAGTTTTCTTTTTATATTGTATTAAATATTTATACTTCTTGTTTAATTTAATATTTAAATATATTTTTAAATACAATTGAATCTATTCTAGTTGTTCTTTGGCTTTTTACACAGTTATGCCATTTTTTTTTTTGTTTACCAAATTCATCTGAAGTACCCTGTTCTAACTAAATACCACGAGTAAAATAAATAAAATAAAAACTCACTTAAATTGTACCTAATATGTTAATTAAATATTTACATTTATGCAAGATGTAAGACATGATTAAGAATATATTTGTACTGTGGGGCCACTCGAATGTTCTTGTTGTGCACAATTATGGAATTGATG